CATCAGGCGGAGTTTGAATTGCAAGTTGGACCTAGTCAGCTTACACGCCTGGCAGATCTCCGTTGGTCATAGGAGCTTTAGTCGACTTTTCCAAAGGAGAAGAGAGCCTCTGATGGCGGTGGGGCCTACAAGGCGGAGGGGCAGTAGGGTATGGTCTCAAGACCCAATGCCATTTGCGGCAAGGAGGGTGGCAGCATCCACCACCTCTCCAGCCGCTCTGGGGAGGGGAATCACTAGAGCGTGGCGATGAGGCCACACGTCTAGGCTTGGTGGGGATCCTGGGCGAGGGGCCTCATCCAGGGGTGGTGAGACATTGATAGACACCGGGAAACACGTCGTGGGCATGGTGAAATTGTCGACGCGGTCTAGGGCGACATACAGGGGCACACCGTCGGACACCTGAAGAAGTAGTTCCGACAAGAGGGGTATGCCATCGTGGTTCGCCGTCCATGATGATAGGTGGAAGGCCATCACTTGTATTGGGCGCAAGGTCCTCGATCAGGTAGAATAGGGTAAGCAGCATATCAGCCAAGGACCAAAACCATGCATGGTCTCGCACGCTGGTGATATTGATGAGCATATAGGCTCAACACCAACGGATGGACTCCAAGGGTGGAAAGAAGCTAGAAGCATGGTATATGGAGGTTGGCGATAGCATCGCTGGAGCGAGTCTTCTCAAAGCCAAAGAAAAAGTGGAAGTCCTCGAGACAGTGACTATGAAGGGAGAACTCGTCTGTATTTAGGCCATATCGCATCTGGAGGTCCTCCTCAACATCTGTATGGACGGCGCTACTACGGTACCCGGCCATAGTGGCTAGGAGCGCATGCCGCGGACCAACCTTGTCCACCTCCATCTCAGCCAAGCGAGGGAGATAGCACATCGAGCTCGCGGGGTGGAGAGAGTGGTGCCCAAACAGGGCCACCACCTCCCGAGAGGAGGAAGCCACCGACGCTGTGGGGGAGGGCTGGGAGGACATGGTAGGCACGACAGGGTGCGAGGGGGATGTAGTCAGCATTGGGGGAGGCACACTGGAAGCCTAGGACCCTCAGGAGTTAGGATGTGGGTACTTCGCCGGTAGCATGGCGCTGGTGCACAGGCGTGGGAGGGAGGG